CATCTAAATTCAAGCTCTACCCATTTATGAAGATTAATTGTACTATTTATTTGGTTTTTATTAGTTTTTTTTCTCATTTTGCGTTCTAGGTTTAGTTTTCCCGTTGTTTCGGAGGATCGTTTGTTCGTTGGAGAAGTTCCTGAAGATGAATTTAAGACGCTTGTTTGTAAGGCAAGTCACACAGATCCCAAACAACCCTTTGAGCATGTTGAACCCGTTTAAAGCTAATGTTTTATTTCAACTTATGCATTATTTTAGAATGTCATCGGGTGGTGAGCCTTTCCCATTTAATTATGGCCGAAGATGACTTTATTTTCCTATGGGTTATAATTTGACTAGCATGGACCTTATATATTGGATTGGTTCAGCTAGACGTTATTTATAGTTGCTTAGGCGTGCTTAGAAACATTAGCTCATTAATGGGATAAATTATGCTTCACTATTACTTATGGTTATATTTAATGGTAGCTCACGATGGTCAATCGTGTTATGATAATTAATTGATAATTAAAATATGATTAAGGGAGGGTTGTGAGCACATGGTTTTGAAGGTCGTGCTCATGGCAATTAAGGACCAGTTCGCGAGCTACTGTTGTGAAACATTAACCGTGCCAACCACAAGCCAGCGTGGGCAACGGCTTTACCTTTTGTATAGCATAGTTCATTACGGGGTGCCAGACTATGAAGCGGCGAGAAGTCCGTGGGGGTCGCTGGGGAGTCCATTGCCTCTGGTTTTGAGGGGGAGATTATGATCCAGGAATTGTGCACTGTGGTGAGTTGTGTTGTGTGAAGGGTATTGTCACGATTTCCCCCTTTGCAGTGCCGTGGTGGTACTTCGGGGCATGGCAACATGTGCGGAATCGTGTCTTGTGGGTACAGTGGTACATCTTTGGCCAGAGTAAAACTATTCGAATAGCCGTGTCCGCGGTTATGGGCGGGTCTAACAATGTTTTTCGTGATTAGTCTCACGCTACTCATTAATGATAATAATGTGATAATTAATTTGACTCCTGATTTTGGAATGGATAATTCCTGGTTTGGAGGTTTGATCTGTACGACCGGGGTTGGTTGTTCAGGTTTGGTTGGGCCTGTGCAGCATGGGTGTGCTGTTCAGTGTTGATTAATATGGATGATTAATTACTCTACTGTTTTATAAATTCTCAACTCTTTGCTAAATGCTGCTTTCGCAAATGAACCCTATATTATGCCATCCTTTGGTATCCATGTGCACTTGCATACTTGCTGTGTGGCTTGCGGAGTATTCCATGTACTCACCTTGCAATAATCAATCAACCTCAGTTGAAGAAAAAGGATCCAGGAGAAGACATTTGGCTTTTACCCCAGTTGAGCTGCCTGTGGGAGTGGAGCTGAAGCTTCGCTAGATTTTATTTTCCGCTGCAGTTTTCTTCATGGTGAGGACTAAGTGCCTCTTATGTAAGTATTTATCGTTTTAGTTATTTCGATGAATCTGTATATTAAATTGTCAGTTTGTATACATCGGCTGATTCCTGGATGAGGGTTTTAATGCATAAATTAGTTCGGAAATTACTTGTGAATTTCTGGGCGTGGCACGGCTAAGGATAAGTTCCCCATTCCCACATTGACGAGTTGCTCGATGATTTGCGCGGTGCACGCTACTTCTCCAAGCTCGACCTACAACACTCCGGGTACTACCAAGTCAGGATGCACACCGCCGATGTACACAAGACGATATTCCGCACGCATAAGGGCATTTTGAATTCTTGGTGAAGCCGTGCGGGCTCACGAACGCGCCGGCGACGTTCCAAGCACTCATGAACACAGTACTCGCTCCCTTCCTCCATCGTTTTGTGCTCGTTTTCTTTTTTATAATTTGGACTGTGCAAGGTACTGTATAATTGGACTGCATAATGGACTGTATATTTATAGTTTGGATTGTACACGGTGCTGTATAGTTGGATTGCACTCGGATTGTCAAATATGGACTTTTGAATTAAATTCGACATTTAGACGTGCGAGGATAAATCTTAGCAATTTCCCTGAATTTGCTTGGATGGATACACTGCGTTGTCAAATAGGGATTTAGGATTAACGCCCAATAAACGAATTCATCGATTGTCTTAGGATTTCTCTGTGAGCGCTTGGCCGCTTGCACGAACAAACGACGGTAACACAAAGGGGTTTTAGGGACGACGGGTGGCATACAAATCCAATCGTCGCAGCAGGAATAGAATCGAGGATATTCAAACCAACGTACAATAAATAAATACGTCGATCGATTATAGGTGTTCGAGGGAATCATCGAGTTTCAATTCACATAGTGGTTCTAAATTAACCGTAGATAAAAGTTTGAGAGAGAGCGATAATATTGCGATAGGAGGAGAGAGCTTCGGGTCTGTGATTAGTTTAGCACCGGGGCGCTTAACCAAACAGACAGAGAGAATAAGGAAAGGAGAGGGTGTCAAACAGAGGACAACCTTTTAGAGTTTAGGATTTAATCGAGATCTTTGGCACAAACCTAAACACACACAAATAACAGAAATTCTACTATGCAGGCTGGGCTAGGCCTTTCAAAGAGGGAGATCAGACTTCATCTGAGAAAGCCTTTTCTTTTAAAATAGCCTTTTAGGAATTATATTTCGCAAATAGAGTTTTTAGTAAATATACTTTACTACTAGGTATTATTTGCAAGTTTTTCCAAAGGACTTATTCCTTTTTCAAGGATTCTTGGAAAATAGTCAAAGTTATATTTCCCTTGTAAAATAGTATTTGTTTCATACTATCCTTCAGGGGGTTTTTATCCAAAATTGTAATATATATAACTTTAGGTATAGAACAAATATATTAGAGGGATTCTAATATACAGAGAAGTATACAGAGAAGGGTTTTTAGGAAAATAATTGGTATTTTCAAATATTAATATATTACATAATCATGGTTCTTTGAATAAATAATGTTTGAAATCAACATACACGCATATTCTCAGACGTCTGTCCTTTAGCCTATGCATAGCATGAAAAACACAGAAGATAAAATCAAATAAATTCCAGTATGCAAGGAAGTTTGAAAAGATTTTTTTTGGTTATTCTGAATTTTTAATTTCGTATTTAAAAACCAATATTTTCAGGGTGTTACAACGACCCTTGGTGCTGCTGCAGAGACGTCAGCCGGGGTGTGACCACGGCCACCGAACAACGAAGGGCTGCGAGATCGCACTTGGATGCCAAGAGTGAAAGCCCGGAAAGGACGTCGGACATGTCCTGGAGGTTGGGCGACGGCATTCGTTGGTTCCAGCAGCGGCTGCTTATCGACTGAGGAGTCACCTTGAACCATAGTCTCTGATACTAAGTTGTCACGAGCTCCAGGAAGAGCGCGTATAGGATATGTGTGGAATGTGGGCAGACGAGGGCGCGGCTGACGGGACGAGGGTCGCCCCGTGATGGCGACGCCGAGAAGAGACGAGGAGAGAAAACAGAGAAAGAGAGATGAGAGAGTAGATTGAATCTGGCTTGATTTCTTATTGATATAACCTGTGCTTTTATAAGCTTACAGCTGAAGAGATAAATCCAAATCCTAATAAGCTCAAACTAACTTAACAACTTCTATCTTAATCAAAATCCTCTATCCACTGTAGCGCGTCTGGCACACGCTGCTCATGTCACTGCCGCGTGAGATGTGTCGCACACGCGTCTGTTTTGCCCCGTGTTGCACCTTCTTCCGCCTACTATGATATGTGATTCCGACCATGACAATGTAAAAATCAGTCTATCGTACGACGTGTAAGAAGAAATTACGATGGGTGAATTTGTGTGATAACATAATAGAAATGGTTAAATCATACACTCCTGATAATTTATGTGTAAAAATAAATTTATTTCTAAGAATAAACAGTCGAGTCATATAGTGGTTTTACACATTAACTTTTCTTTTTCTTAAAAAAAAAATCTCCGCACCATCTAGGCTATCCATGAAAATAACTTCAGAAGTACCGACAACAGCCTTTACCCCTCTGGTTCAGTTCAACTCGCATAGATGTACCATCTTTTATAGTTGTCCACTCTCCTTTCATCCTAAATAAATTAATTTAGAATATAACAGGATGCTAAATTTAGAATATAATAGGATGCTAGTCAGTATTTTAATTAGATTGGTATTGTTCTTTTCTCCTAAAGATGAAGATTAAACTTTTTACACAAAACGAGGTGGTATTAAAGTATAACTGATTGAGTTTTAATTATTACAAACTTAAAAAATAGATTAATACTACATCCGTCCTAAATTAGTAGCCGTTTTGACTTTTTTTCTTGTAACGTTTGACCATTCGTCTTTTTTGAAAAATTAGTGCAAATATAAAAATGGAGAAGTCATACTTAAAATACTTTTGATAATAAAGCAAATAATAATAATAATAATAATAATAATAATTTCATATTTTTTGAATAAGACGAAAGATCAAAAGTTAAAAAAAAACTCAAAGCGACAAGTATTCTAGGACGGATGTAGTATGATATTTTAAAGCAACTTTCATATAGAAAGTTTTCACACGAAACATATCATTTAGCAGTTTGAAAGACGTGCACAGAAATCTTAATTTTCATTCAACTATTATTAGAGAAAAATGGACCTATTTTGGAACGAAGGGAGAGCAACCTGGGTGACCAAGAGAGAACACAGCACGATCCAACTGCGTGTCCTGCCTGCGCGCACGATCGCATCGCACGACAGCACGAGCAACCAAACTCCACGGACACCGGGACACGATCCGCGGGTGCGGTCGGTCCGCCTCGCCTCGCTTCGATCCAATCCTCCTCCTACCCTCCTGGGCCCCACCCCTCAGTCACTCCCCTCCGATCCCCCCACCGCCACCGCTTCCTACGCCCCGTCCATACACCAGCCAACCCTCCTCCCCCACGCATCCCGAGGCTGATCGTACGTTCCATGCCCCTATTCCACCGTGCGCCGGGTCCACTGACTCCCCCTCCCCCTCTCCGATCGGACGCAGCGGGTGGTGGCCGCGGCGCCGGATTCCCCCCACGCGCTATAAATATCAGACCTCGCCGGCGACACCGTGAGAAATTCCCCCCTTCTCCACGGCGGCGGCGACGGCGCGCTCTTCTTGTCGCTACCCCTACCACTACTACTAATCACGCCCACTACTACTACTGCCGCTGCTGCCACTGAGCTAGTAGTAGCCGCAGCAGCAGGTAGTAGCTGGCGCGGGGAGCGTAACCCTAGAATGTCGCAGCAGGAGGTGGCGGATCCGGCGCAGGCGGCGGAGGAGGAGGGGCCGGGGGAGCTGCCGCGGAGCGGCTCCTCCAGCAGGCTCAACGCGCAGGCGCCGGAGTTCGTGCCGCGCGCCGCGGCGGCACCGCCTCAGGCGGCGGTGGCAGCGCCGCCGCCGCCGCCGCAGGTGATCCGGGTGTTCGCCGCGGCGCCGCCCCCTCCCCCCGCGGCGTTCTTCGCCGCGGTGCCCCCTCCGCCCCCGCCGCCGTTCGAGTACTACCCCGCGGTCGGTGGGGGTGGCGGGTTCGGTGCGCCGGTGGAGCTCGAGGCGGAGGCCGAGCAGCAGCCGCCACCGGGGCAGCAGTCGGGGAGGGACGGGATCTCCGACGACGTGGTGCACAAGATCACGAAGCAGGTGGATTCTCCGTCTTGCTGCGTTGTCCCTATTCGATTGGTGCGATTAGATCAGGGAGGAGATTGGGTCATCTTTTAGTCAAACTACCGCACTAATATGTTGGAAGCTTAGTGATGCCTTAGTAAATCAGAAAATTAGTAACTTCAGATTGTTCGATGCACTAGGATACTACTAGGATTGGATCAAATATAAACAGGAAAAGTCATTCTGGTTGCTTTGGTGGGTGGTGGGTGGGAAGTGAGCTATACTTCTGATTGCACTCAGTCAGAGGTGTATATCAGTATATGGATGTAGTTGCAGTTGCTAGGGATCAAGTATTCCCGTTATGTTGGAATTGTTCGCAGCTTACTATGTATTAATTATTGTTGTGATGTTTGCTTGCTGGTAGTTGCAGCTTGCAAGGTATTAGGTATTCCCGTGTTGTTTGCTTGGTGGTAATGTCTGTAGGGGATGTCTCTTGGTTCATGCTGTTGTCCCTAAGGTAGTGACTCAGCCAAAATTCAGGTTGCTCCTTAATTTTTGTTCTGTGTAGTGTTTCGACTTATGACTTAAGGTCCTAAGTATCTATCGTTTTTATGTTTTTATAATCTATTCTTTTATCTTCTGCTCTCCGAACCTAATGTACTTCATGCTATTTATAATCAGTTACGGTGGCAATTTTTCAGTTATTTACTTATGGTGAACATTTAGGGGTGTGTGTGTGGTGTATCTTCATTCTTCAATGCTCAACTACTCTAGTCTAAGCTCATGGTGTGATGTTATCGTGAACCTTTTTTTTTTACCGCCAATACTTTCCTTTATTTTACCAGGCACCATGCTTATTTTATTTTGTAGACATGCATGGTGGTTATTTCTGTCAGTTTTAACCAACTGTCTGTTTTTATTTTTTGACAATTTGTGATCCTATTTCTTGCCACTAAAGTGCCCAATTGTTTGGTTGTGTATTGTCTGATTGAAAATTTATCCAGTTTCTTTGGTGTGATCTTGCCAACTTAAATAGTTTCATGTGTTGATTTGTGTGTATGACTCAGCTTACTACTACATCCATTCGGAGAATAGCTGTAGTTCTGGGTTGATTCCAGAGGTTCAAGAAAACCAGATATTCTGGTTCTCTCAGGCTTCTTCCACTGAAGGTCCTATAATTAGCTCTGCACGCATGCAATTTTATTGGCAAAAGTTAGTGGTAGGCTTGTACCTTTTTTGTGCATGCATGCTTGGTCTGCACACAAGGGAGAGAGAGGCAGCAGCAGCAAAAAACATGGAGTGGAGTAAATAGAGGCCCACACAGTAAAAAAATAAAAAGAGAATTAGGAATTAATGGATAGATGAACATGAATAGTGATTAAAGGATCTAGAACCCATTCCTTGTTTTTCTACCTCCTGCCCTAAATGCCAAGTGTTAACAACAACCAGATGGAGCACTTCCATTTAGATTATTAATTATGTTTTGAAAATCTCTACTTACCTATCCCTTGGTGCTTCTTACCTTACATTTTTAGTTCGGATAGTGTTGATTTTCTAATTAGTTTGATATGGGTGCCAATAGCCAGTATGAGAATTGCATGCTTATAGTCCTCTAGCGATCATTGTTAAACCCTGATAAATAGGAATGCTGTTGCTTTTACCTTTTTAGTTCCTACAATGTCTTATTTCACAAATTGAAATATTGTAGGTGGAGTACTATTTCAGTGATATAAATCTAGCCACTACGGAACATTTGATGAGATTCATTACCAAGGATCCAGAAGGATATGGTGAGTTGAATTTTTCAATCTGAAGCCTTCTCTTCCAGAATGAAATTATACGTGTTTCTTTTTATTCCTTTTATAGCACCCCCTCTCTTCACAAATACCAGTAACACTTGACAACACAGGCTAACCTAGACAATCATTTGGTTTTATCCAATGCGACCGATCTGCCTTAGAAAACTAAGTCAACAGGCCGTTGTCTGACCAAATGTGTAGTGCTAGAGGAATAAGTACAGGGAAAGTTGGAATGCACGCATATGTAAATGTAAGGTGACAATTTTTAATCTAAAGTGATCAGATGATACAAATATTATTAGGAGGGACTAACATTTAGAGCCTTTGTTCCATCATTAGAAACAACATTATGTTTACCATCAAAGACAATGAAGATAATTTAATCAACTTTACAAACTATATTCTCATATGCTAGAATTTCTATGTTTTATTAAATATCTTGCATTGCTCATGTGGTAGATGCATTTTCTCATGCACTCTGCTCACAAATACTTGTTGTTTTGAAGAAGCATTAGGCCAAGCTTTCAAAACTTAGTATGAATATCTTTGAACAAATATAGACCGGATACATGATAATCATATATGTAAAGTTGTCCCTGAATGTACTTCCATAATATTGTAACTTCTGTAGATTTTATGGATATACTACAATAGAAATTAGTGGCCAAAGTTGCGTTTGGGAGTGGGAGACTGAGTTGATGTTCGAAACGACATGTAATTACAGGTGGGAGTATGTGTCTTAACAGGATATTTTTTTTGTTAAATAATCAGGATAAGATTGATTCATTATATTTTAATTTGTAGTAAAGGAACCAACTGGTACAGTGTTTTTAGTTCAAAATTAAAACATAAATCTTTATATATCTTATCATATTTCATATGTGTGCAATAGACTGGTTTCTATGAGTCCTTGTAATTTATTTCTTATATTTCCAAATTAAGCTCATACTTCCTCCGTGCCAAAATGTAAGCATTTTTTAGGTTGGCACGGGTATTAAGAAAGTAGGTGGAAATGATTGGAAGAAGTGTGTGATTGGTTGAGAAGAGAAAGTAGATGAAAGAGAATAGTTGTGATTTGTTGAGAGGAATAGGTAGGTGGATAAATAGCTTTATTTTGGGACAAGGTACTGTGCTAGAAATAGCTAAATTTTGGGACGGAGGTAGTAGCTATTAGTAGAACAATAGTATTGTGTTGCTAACTATAATCTACCTCTTTATTATTCAACTAACTAGTCTCAGTGCAGATGACAACTCCAACATTTCAGTTTTCTAATTATGTTTATTTCAGTACTTCTTCATTTTCTTTTTGCGAAGTTTGTTTGTACATTTAATATGTGGGGAACAAGTTATGTTTGGTATCTAAGCAAGTTTATAAAAATGATATAATTAATAAAGTGGATCTAGGAAAAAATGAGTTTGAAAAACCAAAGGCAGTTACTCACATAAGCAGAAGAAGTTATGAAATAAAACTACTGGTCTAGGGCAAGCCAATATAAATCTGTTTTTTATAGGGAAAACTGACGTGTCATCTCACTTAATGCAGTTCCGATATCAGTTGTTGCTGGCTTTAAGAAGATTAAGGCTTTGATACAAAGTAATGCAATGCTTGCTTCAGCTCTTCGGACATCATCAAAACTCGTAAGTTTCATTACAATTGTGTTATACACTTATACCTATATCCTGTGGCTTTAATGCTTGATCTTGTAATGTACTCCCTCCGCCCTAGAAAATAAATCAACTCCCGGCAACAAATCTGGACAAGCCTATGTCCAGATTCATTGCCAGGTGTTGGTTTTTGCTGGACGGAGGGAGTACGTATTATTCTGAAGTTGTTTTGTTTACCAATGGGTTGCAATTCTTCGTAAGTCATAGGCATCAGAATAGTGACAACATACAACTACAGCTGCTTATGTCTTTCCTCTGCAAAATGCATGTTGCTTATGCCTGCAATAAATTTATAACTATTTGGCGATACATGTAGGTTGTTAGTAATGATGGAACAAGAGTAAAACGTGAGCAACCGTTTACAGAGTCAGATTTAGAAGAGCTCCAGGTAACCATATCCTAGATTGCTTTTTATGAAAAAAATGCTAGACAGTAAGGTGAACACTTCACCTGTCTTGTAGGCCCGAATCGTTGTTGCAGAAAATCTTCCAGATGATCATTGTTACCAGAATCTCATGAAGCTTTTTTCAACTGTTGGCAGGTAAAGATTTATCTAGGTCAATGTAATATGCTCCTCTTCCTTTCGATCATAAAATAATTGATCTATATATTTCTATTTAGATTGATGTTTTGTTATGTTCCAGTGTCAAGACAATTCGAACATGCTATCCTCAAACCCCAAATGGCACTGGTCCAGTTACTAATAGATCTGCCAAGCTAGATATGCTTTTTGCTAACAAGGTAATTACTTTTAATATTTCCATTACTCAAACACCACTTTGTTACTGATCACTGAGTTCTAGTAATTCCTGTAGTAATCTTCCCTGAACAATGTATTCTTGCACAGTAGCAATAATTATTGAGCATAATACAACTACCAAAAGATTTATGGAAATTAAGAGTCTAATGAGGATTTAGAAAAAAACCTAGTGGGTTAACTCCATTACAACACACTGGTCCTTACATGTGAGACATCTCAGTTCCTTGATTGGGGGTTCAGAGTCTGATTATATGGTGCAGGAAATTCTGGAAACCCAATTGCCATCTTGACCTATGGTTATTCTGTTTGCACTAGATTGCATGAATAAAATCATGACACGGTCGATATTTTGCTTTATCTGATGTGTTTTGAGGAAAAAAAAAACTTTATATTCTATATATATGTGCATGCATATTCATTATTTCATTTCAGTATTTTTAGGGGGGAAATATTTCATTATTTTTTCGATGTAGGTCCAGATGAAATGATGGATAAACATAGGAAGTAATAATAAGATATTAATTAACTTGGCTCAAATGAATAATATTCCTTGTTAACAAGGTTATTTCTTTGTTCCATTTTTGTTGTGGCCGACATATGTGCTACACTTTTTGTCATTGATTTCTTGTTGGATTAATATATTTTCCCCTTGTTGGCAGCTGCATGCTTTTGTTGAGTACGATACTGTAGAGGATGCTGAGAAAGCGGTATGGACCATTACATGATGCATTGTAATATTTTCATGAACATGGTAATCACTGTTGCACATGCATCATCTCTGATATTTTCTTCATCCTATGCAGATCGTGGAACTTAATGATGAGAGGAACTGGAGAAATGGGCTGAGAGTTCGATTATTGAATACTTGCATGGTAACCATTGGATTAGTCAATTGCACATGAGAGTTCAGTACTTTGGTGCTTAAGTGCATATGCAAATGTCATGTTAATGCGCACTTGTTATGTATGTGTTGCTTTACCTGTCTGAGAGAACTTTAGTTGGTTTTGCCGTGTATGAATCTGCTTTAATGGCAAGAGACCATGATTTTAAATCTAATCCTTATTAGAATGGATCAAACCATGTGGACGGATTCAATCGTATGGCACTTAACATCCATTGGAACATCTAATAAGAGTATGAGGTCCATTAATCTATCCAGCTTTAAATACGCAAGATTTAGGGGATTGCACTAGTGCACTCATAATAGCGTTACATTTCAGATTTGCTCTCAAGTATGGCACAAGTAACCTTGAAAAGAAATACACTTCAGTTGTTATGCCCCCAATTTGCAGGTGACCCCACTTTGATCCCAACTCTCCACGAATATTAATAACAGATCAAATATGGGGAGTTGGTGACCCTGTACCTCATATATTGTCCAATATATTATAGACAGGTCTAGAGAATGCATTTGCAAGAATATAGGGAAAGTTTGGTACCGTGGTATATAGGTTGACGTGTTTCAACTTTCAACGTCATAATCTTAACTTGTTGCTAATATGTGTGAACATAACCAGTTACTCAAGAAATTATAAACATGGCAGCAGATCAACAGAGAAGTCATATTTATCTAAATAGCCATTTGACTAAAAGATCACAAGCAGTTCAGTGCCAAAATAAGCATGTTTTTATGTTCTCAGCGTGGACAATTCATGTTAATTTTCTGTGAGCGCAATTTATGCCATGTTCAGACTTAATTCGAACTTCAAGTAACAAGTATCCCCCTTCTATTTGGGTTATTTTCTATCAGTAATATGTATACAACAATTGGCATAATCATCATCATCAGTTTAGTGTATGCCATCAATCCTTCCTTTCTTTTGTTTGTGTTCACTGCAACAATTATATAGTGTAATCAATTTGCGCAGTGCTATCTTAATTTATTTGCGCAGTGCTATCCTTAAATTGGTTGCATAGCTCAAAATGATTATGTAGTTTAATGCATGCCATAAATGCTTCTTTAATTTGTTTGCACAATGCAAAAGAAAGGAATTCTCTTTACCTTTATATAATGTTCCTTTTTTGTGGTATAGACAAAGGGAGGCAAAGGGAAAAAGGGTGGCCATGATATCAATGATGGACATGGTGTAGAGGATGATGTCTCCACTTCTAACCAATCAAATGAGAAACATGGAGAAGAAGCACTGCAAACACCAGATGCACAGGGAGAGCAATTGGTAAGCTCTCCATTTTACTTTGTATAATCCCTTATTTGGAAACACAAAAAAGAAACAAAACAGTGCTTTACTGCTGTAGAGTTTCCAAGTGTGCGTAAACTTATTTCCAAATATGAGCACAATTTGTGGCACTGGTGTTAATAAGGGTTTCTTAGGGCATGTACCATGGTCTTTATTAGCGGTCTCTCTTTATTGTTATGCAAGCATATTTGGTGACGTGGAAGAGAGAGGAAGAAGGAAAGAGAAAGATGGTTGCTACGCATGACAACGGCATAGAGTCGACTCTTAGCATTTATTAGGAAATTTTTCGTTGTATTGAGTCTAATAAAGGAAAGATGACTAGTAAGAAAGTATTTTGGTACATTAATGGTTAAAGACCGTATTGTCTTAACTATTGTAACGTGATAGCCTCTAATTAACGTAGAGACCATACTGTTCTCTACTAGTTAGGAATGTTCGCTGACATGGAAGAGAGAAGCGAGGAGAGGCAAACATCGTTGCTACTGTTAACAACTGCTTAGCAACGACTCTTAACCTATATAAAATGGAAACTTTGTTGTATGAGGGTGTGAAGAAGGAAAGAATAGTAATATATTTTTTTTCTGGATCAATATGGTTTAGAGCATTTGTTGTCTCACACCATTGTAAAGGTATAGTCTCTAAATAAGCATGCGTTATCTAAGTGTCTATATGGGCTCTACCTTTGAACATATAGTGTTTTCTTTAAGCAGCTCATGCCAAAAACATAACTAGTTACATCACAATGAATGGTTCTCTCTCTCTCATTTGAAGGTTCATGATTGGTTGTAAAAATTTTACCTAATAGTTGGGTTGTGCATCTAAGCTTGTTAAAGAAACTATACTCCCAAAGATCTGAAACCAATTTGTTTCTGTACAGCCTGATGAGAGCGCTGGGGATATGGGACGAGGGCGTGGCAAAGGCCGTGGCCGTGGAGGTAGAGGCCGAGGGCGTGGCTACCACTACCACAACAACAATCAACAGAGCTACCACAACCATCAGCAGCATAATCATCAGAATAGCAACAACCGGAACGCCGCCCATCCAGTTGGAACGCCGCCATCCAACCATCCTGCCAAGAACGAGCAGCAACAGCAGGCACAGCCACAGCCACAGCCACAGCCACAGCCACAGCCACCAGCAGGAGCAAACAAGCAGCCTCCAGGGCCACGCATGCCTGACGGAACACGCGGGTTCGCCATGGGCAGAGGGAAGCCGCAAACATCTACGACGACACCCAGCGCATCATCCGGTAGCGAACCTTGAAACTCGAAACACGCAATGTTGCTGTTGGTCATGTTGATAGAAAGAGATGCGGTTGAGAGACTTGTCTTTTTTACAAGTCTGTCCTTGGAAGCGTGCCTCCTTTTGTTGTTTGTTCTATATATACACGTTTTTCTGCCGTGTGCTGTTGTTGTGTAGTACTACTTCTGAAACAGGTAGAGCACACACCGTTTGTGTGACTCGGTGTGAGTGAGTGACCTGAGTGTGCTCCCTGTCACTTTGCAGCTCTGTTTTTTTTTTTTTACCATTTTTGCCGCCCTGACTGTAAGATTGTAGTAGTAAAAGTTGATTCCAGAAAGATAGGGGAGGAGAACATAGTAAAATGTGATGATGTTTCTTGTACTGTGTTGTGTTGTCCTCTGTTTTTGTTGCTCAACTGGATGTTTTGGTGTATCATGCTTGTACCTTACTTTGAAAGCGATATAATTGAAGTTCCCGTAAATAACGACGTAGTATCACCTTAATATGGTTTGATTAAATTGTGAAATAGAATGTGCAAGAACAAATTATAGGAATGTTGAGAAGCAAATGCTAGAAATTTTGGAAGTATGTTATTCAGAGCATGTTTGGTTGGTTACTGAACAGGCATATGATCATGACCTGGCAATATAACAATTTAGTATTGAATTAGATAGTACAACATTTCTCCAAATTCATATTACTAGGCTGTGTCTATAATCTTGTACAGGGTTACTATATTTTGGGACGGTGGTACATGATATGTAGGAAAGACTACCAATGAAGCAAAGCATCCTTGTAACAAATTGTGTCACGCCTAAAGCCTTGTGGTGTGTCCTTAGAATTACGTAGACAACCAAACAAAACACACCCCCTTAAGATCGCCCTTTCTAGATTCCATGATCAGAAAAACAAAATTAATTATTGATGTTACTATATCACACTAGAAATTTCAATGCACGAAGAATTTTACATATACCAGAACACACAAGATCAATCATGTGAAATTACAAAGCCAAGAGTACGTGCACAAAGTGCACACGTTACAAAGACTAAAAAACTACGGCTTCGCCGCCGCCGCCGCCGCCGCGGCGAGCGGGTGGACCTTGACGACGCCGCCGCTCTTGCCGGCGTCCGGCGCCGCCGCCGCGTCGTCCTCGTCGACCAAGGTGAGCAGGCGCGTCATCTCGGCGAACCACCACCTCCGCTCGAACTCGTAGCCCAGCGCCGCCTCCAGGCCGATGTCGCCGTAGCGGCTCACGTCGACGGCGCCGCCCTTGCCGTAGCCGGCGCCGTAGCTGTAGCCGTCCCAAACCCTCGCCGCCAGGTGAAGCCCCACCTGCTCGTCCACCCACCGCCTCTTCTCCGCCTTGTCTGGGCGGCGGCGAGCCGCCGCCGGCGCCGGCGCCGACGACGACGACGGTGGCCGGAAGCAGCAGGCCAGCTTGGACAAGATCGCCATGCGATCGAGGCGAGGCGCAAGAGCGAGCTAGACTGATCGATCGATTGGCAATGGCGCCGTGTCGATCCCTCTATATGTAGCGCGCGCGCGCGGGCTCGCAATCCGAGTCGGAGAGGTAGTACGTGACGATTTGAAATCGGAGTCGGAGATTTTCTTTCCCGCGTCGTCGACTCCGAATTGAGCAACGAAGGCTAAGTACAAGTTGAATCCACAATATAAGTGAATGTCATACAGAAATACACAACTTTGCTTTTTTTTTTCTCGATTTTCCCATTGTTCGCTTTGATCAACACTAAGAAGTACTCGGATTTGGTTTGATATCTTCTTTGAGAGCCACAGGGAGTAACCTAGGCTGAGTTCGTTTCAACGGTTATGCTCAAATGTTCAGCGCTGCCGGTGCGTGAAACTGAGATAATCCACGATTAATTGAGTATTAATTATTATAAAATTTGAAAATGGACTTATTTGATTTTCTTCTAAAAGAACTATTGTATAGAAAAATTTTACACGAAACACATCGTTTTGTAATTTGAGATGGGTGATCACGGAGAATGAAATAGTAGTAGCTGTATAATCCTTCATGTTCATTTAGTCATGTCAGCTGTATAATTCACGCAACCTGAACTTGTATAATCCTGCAAAACGTAAGCAAGCAATGAACACGAAGGATTATATAGATTTGGACCGCATGTGTGCGTAATATCCTACTCCTGTATATGGAATATGGATGATCGAAATAAGCTACAATGCATGGGGTCCTAACGAGGAATGCTAGTTTCTCTGTTCATAATATCATACTCCTGTATGTGTCCTGTATGTGGAATGTTTAGATTGTGGATCATTAACCTCATCTTGATGAGTATGCAACCAACGCATGTAAGTTGATTTATTTCACCTCTGTTCGTATGGATCAGTTTCTTTTATCCAACATAATTTAGTTGTCATTGCATTCTTTGGCACAAGCATTGAAACATCATGACTTGGTTTGCCTGATTTTTACGATTTGCAACACTGCAACCATGGAAAACAATTCAATATAAACCAGCTTTCATGCTGGTAACTATTAATACCTCTGTTAGTTTGTTCTACAATTTGGTCTTGGATTCTAAATTCTGAGACTTACTAAAAAATACTCAGTTATCTCTTTAGAATAGACATATTATCTCTTTAGGGCACTACTGTGTTCTGCCTTTTCAAATTGAGCGTCTAAATAGAAGAAATTGTGCCTATGTACCTTTTCTATATATTCGATGAAATAAGTTTTGATAGCAAAAAAAAAAATATGCTTGCGGTTCTACATAAATAGCGATATGGCTGAAATGAGACATTTCTAATTCCAGATTATGCACCATTTTGATAGTGCTTTCAGTTTATCTATTTGAAAAGCTCTTAGATATGTGATTTAGTCACCCGATAAGCTTGCGACTTTGCAGTCACTGCTGATTGGTTCTTTTCATGTGTGCTTTCTCTCATCAGTCATTGTTCTTGCCGTAGTTTCCAGATAATTAGAACTTTTCAGAAAAAGAAAGCAGTGATATCCAACGTGTTTTATAACACACTACGATGTACTTCCTCCGTTTCACAATGTAAGTCATTCTAGCATTTCCCACATTCATATTAATGTTAATATGTATAGATTCATTAACATCAATATGAATGTGGGAAATGCTAGAATGACTTATATTGTGAAACGGAGGGAGTACATGCATCTTTCATTTTGTGTTTTGTGATTCTTACGACGAGTGTCCAGAGGTAGATCATTCAATCGACTTGAAATGCACTTACCTGGCAAAATATGTTCACTGCTGGGTATTTTTACTCTCATTCTCTTTCATCATTTCGTATGGGGAGGTATGGTGAAGGCGAGAAGCCTATAATGAAGTATGCCTGCTTCACCTTGTCTTTGCTGGTATATAATGGCCCATTTTTCTGATTCCTGGTTAATATCAAAGTTCTTCTCATCAAGCAAAATGATTCCCTAACCTCCACAAGCAAAATTGTTTGTAATGCCTTTAAGAAGAGAAGAAACTACCAAAATGATTCCCTAACCTTTTCCAGTGTCTATAAGCAAAATTGTTTGCAGTGCCTTTAAGACGCGCGCGAAGAAACTGTTTTGAGCATGTTGCTACATCAATAGTACAATCGTCACCTATAGATGCCTCACATAAAGTCATTGTGGCTCACAAATTTGCATCCAAAACATGAATTGAGATTCTTTTAAATTGGAAGCTCGTCACTGAGGGTTAGGATCAGGATTGTCTACTACTCCAAGTGATCTGTACAATAGATGATCAGCTCTTTTTTTTTTTTAACTTCGCAACAGGTGATAGATTCGATAACCATTGGAAATATTTAGAAACGTGTAGTTGAACTGGAAGAATATTTGTGGCATTATAGCCACCTAACCTTTTTCTTAATGAATTATTCCAATAATTTTTTATTGAGTAATCTGCCCTTATAGGAAGAAATTTGTACTCTGGCCATTTAAGCTCCTATAAAGCATGAACATTATTGCATAAGCAGGGAGACATTCTTCCAGAGTATAAGCTTCTATCCTTATTTGTGGATCCAAATAATTATGCTACCTAGTTGAAATTGTATGTTCATCGAGTGAAAACTTTCAAGCTGAAATTGTTTCGTTCGTTTTTCTCCTTTAAGATGTGTATTACATGTGCAATTTTTATTAAGGTGTTACAGTACTTGTGCTTAACTGTTCTGTTTATTCAACAGCAGCGTTACAACATACTCCATACAAATGTAATAACTCGCAGCATTTTTTATATCAATAATGGAAAATTTTAGTATTGATGTAACCACACTCATGAGGCACGCCAATGCCGCGCCCCGTAATCTAGTGCCTGTTTACCAGCCACCACAAGTAGTGATGATACAATGTTGAAAAAAGAAGTCTGCAAGTATTATAAGTTCAATACACATGGTACGTAGCACATATAATTGAGTTGTAAAGTCATCAACAACAAGCCCCTTATTACAAATATTAAGTCTTCGGACCATTGGACCTTATGTCCACAGCACAATCACAAAAATAACAGGATACATGCCACACGTACTAGTAGTATGGTCTGACAATCAGACCATATTGAGGAGATCAGAGTTAAAAGTTTTACCCAACCAAAATCTGAGCTCCAAGACTGGCCATTCACCAAGCAACTTAGTTATTGCCGGCAATAAAACTGATAGCAAACAAATTCCAATAGCTAGCCATAGTAATCGTGGGGCTAATACGGTGTATAAACCAGTTGCAAATGCCACATTAGTTGCCATGTATGCAAACCACATGAGCTTCTTAGTGAAGGACCTATAATGAAGCAAGAAATGAAGATCCTCCCACCTTGCTATGATGCAAATGAAGGCGATAGCAAGTGAGGAAAACATTGCCAATGTGTTTGCGATCAAGAATGACAAATGCAAATTTTCTTGCCAATGGGAAATCCCAAGTTTCCAGCATCGCTGCTATACCCTCCAGGTAAGGTGAAAGCAGCAACAAATGTAATTGTAGCAATGATTATTGCAACTAAAGAAGTGTTGCTCGTATATGTCTGAGTCAGTGACTTAGCATCTTTCATTGATAATTTATTTAATTTGTCCTTGGCCATCTTATGAAGAATATAAACGGACATTGCACTTTGGGGATCAACTTTGAATAAAAGCATCAACACTTCATTCTGCATATATTAAAAGAGAGGAACAAATGACTAAATGTGATTGGTGTAACATAATAGGAAAGCCTTGATATCTGTGCCTTTCGAGTATAAGTATCAGCAAAACATGAAACACCTTTGTAATTTTTCTATGGGAAAAGTGGGCTTGTAAAGTCATTTAGAACTCAACACGTGGTGCAAAGAAAAACCTATTTGTATGCACCTACAAATAGAGTGCCATGCATAGCTAATTTGTGACCATAGGTATTATGGGACACCCTTGGCTCTCAGTGA